TTATGACTGTGAAAATGCAAGAAAGAATTTAGAAGGATACAGTGGAAGTAGTACTGATAGTATATACAAGGCTACTTAGAAAAAGAGAGGCGGCTTCTCAGGGAAGGTATTTCAGCAGATACGTGGATATAGTGAGAGAGAGAACCCTGTGAAGATCTGAAAAACAAAACAAAAACAGTACCAAGGTCTTCAGGTAGAAAGGAATGTGACTGCAATGAGCTGGAGAGTCAGCCAAGCATGACTCCAAAATGTAGTTAATCACTAATCACAACAATGACAACAATAATGGTGAAAGAAGGTATCCTTATTTTATAACAGATTTTCATGGAATACTGGTTATTAATTGGCCTGAAAGAAATCCTAGTAGTCATAATTGTTGTAGGCTACCAAGTACAAAAGCTAGGTATGAGTTCAGAATGGTTGCTGTTTGTCAAACCAAGGAAATGGTCTACTCTTATCAGTTTTAAGAGTTTTTTTAAACATAAGGAAATGCTTAAGAATCATCAAGTGAGTGCACAGACTCCTAGGACTAGAAAATGTTAGCAATTAAAATACAAATATATTTAAATAACAAATCTAAGCTGCTTATATTATATAGTCCCCAAAGCGCTGTCTATTAACATCTTTAATTTTCTATAATGTCCCCCAAAAGAAAATAATTATGATAAAAAGAAAATCAAGTCCGTATCTGCCTATGATTTATTTAATCTTCGAAAACATTTAAATAACATATCTGTAGTATTTATTAAAACTAACTGTATACTTCAAATAGCAAATTCAGCATTCTACAGAAAGATACATACATATACAGGCATCTCTTGATATAAAAGGCCTTGGAAAGTAAGACGTAGTCCTAAAGAACTACTTAACAATTTAATTAGTACAGTCACATAAAGAACAGCTTCCCAAACACTTCTACAACCATGCATATAGTAAAGAGTTACATTTCATACTTTATGGATAGGGTAAATCAGGATTTGGTTTATAAGTGGCTTAAAGACTGACTCAATCACTGGCCAGCTTTTCTTTATCATAAATTGTAATTTGAAATTATTTTCTCACTGTTCCAGAGAGAAAAAAATTACAAAATTATCAGTCATTTATGTTTAAAAACTTTCTCTTCAATTGTTTTTATAATAAAATAATTGTTATTTGCAGATGATATACATAACTACGTAAAAAAAAACTCAACAGAATCAAATGGAATAATTTATTATTGTTTATATTAGTAGCAAAATTTACTTAATATTTACTATCTGGTCTTCTAAAAGTTTTGCATACAGTGGTTTATTCAATCCTTATAACCACCCATGAGTCATGTACTATTATTCCTATTTTATAGATGAAAAAAACTGAAACACACTGAGTAACTTGCCCAAGGACAACTAGCTAGTAAATCATGTGAATGAGACATAAAATCAAACAGCAGGACCTGCAGAGCCCATGCTCCTGTTCCCATTCAACAAAAACTAGTTAAGAGTTTTGTTAGGTAGTTGGTTATAAAATAAACACACACACAAACTAGTCTATATATCAATAAAAACCAATCAGAAAAATGTAACAAATATGGCAACCATAAAACCCTACTTATTAAAAAAGCATAAAGAACAACAGAAATAAGAGACATAGACTTCTGAAAAAAGGTAATCATCAGTATAAATGTGCAATAGTCGAAAATATTTTATAAAGGATGTGAAAGACCTTACCTAAGATGTGAAAATTGTCTATAAAGTTACAGCAATTCAACTATGTTGTAGTTCTGCCATAGAATCAGTATGAGAAATAGAACAAAAGAGTTTAGAAACAGGCCCAAGAATACATCAGACATTAAAATATATTAAGGGAGGATTTCAATTAGCCTTAAATGAATGCTCTAACTCAGGGGTGAGCAAATTACTGCCCATAGGCCAAATCTAGCATATTCCTTTGTATTTGTAGAGTACATGAACTAAGAATGTTTTTTTACTTTTTAAATGGTTATATAAATACCCACATAATATACTTTACTTAGCCTCTTGGCCCAAAAGCCTAAAATATTATTATCTGGTCCTTTACGGAAAAGTTTTCTAATCTGTGATCTAAATTATAACTGGTGTTGGGACAACTAGATATTGGACCACCTCACTGAGAGGGTGGGGGAAGAATACAAGGGTAGAGATCCAGGCACCGTAATATTCACACCTTAAACCAAAATACTTTTTTTTTGAGAGAGAGAGAGCATGAGTGGTGGGGGGGGGAGGCAGTGCAGAGGGAGAGAGAAAATCTTAAGCAGGCTCCACACCCAATACGTAGCCCCACGCAGGGCTCAATTTCACGACCCTGAGATCATGACCTAAGCCAAAACCGAGAGTCAGATGTTTAACCAACTGAATGAGCCACCCAGGCACCCCAACCAAAATACATTTCTAAGGCAGCTAGGTTATATGTGAAGAATGAAGCACAAATATGCTAGAAAAAAGTAGATGGAAAAAGTCTAAGAATGATCTCAAAAACAGAAACCACAAAAATAAGAAGATTGATGAGTCAAATTCAATAAGAATGATAAATATTTTTATATTAAAGAACCACTCACTAAACTGTAAGCAAAAAAAACTGGGAAAATATTTGTAACAAAGCACAAGAGACCATTAATTTATGGAAAACACTAACAAATAAACAAGACTTACCACCTCAATAGAGAAATAGAAAATGGCACAAAAATAGGTAATCCACAAAGGAAGAAATGGCCAGTAACTACATGGAAAAGATATATTACTGAGTGTGTGTAAATTTAACAATGTCTTAATATTTTTTTTTAAAGGGGGGGCAGAGGGAAAGGGAGAGTGAGAATCTCAAGCAGGTTCCACGCCCAGCATGGAACCCCACGCAGGGCTCGATCTCATGACCCCGAGATCACGATCTGAGCCAAAATCAAGAGTCAGATGCTTAACCCACTGACCATCCAGGGACCCTTGTCTTAACGTATTTTAAAACAGTAAGCTTCTTTTGTTAAGAAAAGACTTAAAGACTTAAAGGTAATAGCTGATGAGAGTAAAAACTGGTACACACTTTCTAGCGGAAAATATGTGGACATGTCCCAGAGATTTACATAATAACATCTTTAAAATAAAAATATTTAAAGTATTAAATCAAAATTTTAGCAGTAAATTATTTCTGACCAGCAAAATTATGGGTAATTTTTCTTCTCCCTTCTCATGCATGTTTTCTAAAATCTGCAGTAATGCCCCTCTACTATTTTGTTATGAAAAAGGTGTCAGCAATAGCAGAGATTTATAAGTAGCTATTATATTATTATTCCCAGTTTAAAGAAGAAAAGGCTAAGGCTTGGAGAAGTTCTTGCCAACAGGCAGAACCAAGATCCAAACACACAAGGGTAAAGCTTTAGAGCCTAAATTCTTAATCTCTCTGTCTTATTACCTTCTTAATTTAAAAAGTTTTATAAAGCAAATCATTGTGTTACTTTTGTGACAAACAACTAAACAGAAATGCTAACCAACATATGTAAGTGTATCATTCTGACTAAAACCCTCTGATATATAGTATTTCTGCTCTCTAGAAGACAGACCTCTTATCTTTGTCGTTCTCTGTACACACTTTATTCCAGATTTCAGTTTGAAAGCTTCGTATCTTCCTAATCAGAATGAGTGCTTTTCATCAATAAGTAATATCCCACTACCATTTTTTCCACCAAACTTGCACTATACAATCACAGTAATACACACATGGATTAGTTTTTGCAAGCAACACTACCAGAAGATATCCCAAATTCTTTAACTACAAGATCAACACATAAACATAGAAACTCACGTAAAAACAAATTCAATTATAATTTACATCCAAGAGCAAATAGCTGAATGGTCAGTAAAGTAACAGAAAATTAATGAGATGACATTATTCAATGAGCTATTAAACTGCACACTAATTATAAAGAAAGTCACCACATATTTTGAAGAGTCCTAATAACACAACGGATACATTGTTGCCAATATGACACAATTTTCAAATAAATATAAAGGGTAGTAACACCTCAATAGGAGGGAAAAAAAATTCACCCAAATCCTAAATCTAAGTTAAGCCAATTTGTGAAATTCTAAGACACAGGAAGAGATTTACTAACGATCAATTTCAATGAAAAATGAGAGCGTTTGTTACATATCTTAGAATTTTATAAATGCTTTTAAACATCAATAAGAATCTCATTAGGTTAATAACTAGAATAGATTGTTATATAGGTAGGGACATTAGGAATAGCAAGTTTATAAAAAGGGTTGAAAGGAGAAAAAAGGTGGGTGCGTACAAAGTACAAAAATGCAACTGGTTTGACTACTACAGTAGTGTATAATTTAAAGAGGCTTACCAGAATTTGAAATTAACAATTAATTTATTTAAAAATATTTTATCAATTTGCTAATTATGACTTGACTGTGTTAAATCTTTTCATTCCAAATGGGATTACTGAATTACTAGCCCTCCAAAGTACTTAATCCACACCTTTATAATAGATCATCTTCCATGTTTTGAATATAGTTCTTCAAAAATGTTTCTATACTAGCATTCCTACAGCTGAACAGAGGAGATGCTCTTACTAACTAAAGCTTAGGATTACAGCCTGAAGATTCCACAGCAAAGGTAAAGTTTCATTTAATTTTGCCATTATATCTTTAAATCTTGCAAATCTGCTTTCTACTCTATATGCATATTTTAATATAAAAATAACAAGTTAAAAAAAACAACTGATGATCTCGATGTAAGACCATGTTTACCTCTTGTCTTTGAGTACTTCCACAGTATTACCATATCCCAACTTCAGAATCATAGGACATTTTATCTCCCATTAAAATGTAAGCTCATCATTTTTGTATCCCCAGGGCCTAGCATTGTGCCTAAAACATAGTCACTCGACCAAACATGGTATTCTGCAATTCATATGCTGCTTTTCAGGAACCAGAAAGAAACAGACATACACTGCTGAGTAAACACAATATAACTGATTAACTTACATCCTTTTCTGACCGATGTGGAAACATAGAAGACTGGCTGTAGTACATGTTTTCGTCATGGTAGTCACTGTCGACCCCCTCTACAAACTTCTTTCTTGAAGCACCAAACATGCTGTTTGTCACCTAAACAAAAATATTGCTTTTATCAAGAGTAATATTTTGGAAAATGTCAAGCTTTACCAAACTCCTATGTGGAAAACAGAAAAAGAAGAAAACAATGCAATAAAGAAGAAAACAAAACAATAAAGAAACAGATCAACTAAGGGCTAATGGGGCATGTGAAAAAGTCATAAATCTAACTGTAACAATATAGCATTAAATTTTTGCTTCCAGGCTCTAAAAGCAAGAGGAGAAACTTAATAAAGTCTAGCATGCAATAATTCTACTTACTTTAAAGAAATAAATATCACTTATTCTTGAGAATTTGCAACTTCAAATATAATTTTCCCATAGAAAGATTTTTTAAAAATTAACTTTGGGTTTAATTATTCAAAATCTTCACACATATCTTCAATATTAGTATCTTTGTCATCACGGTCTACTTTGTAAATGATCTGTTTTTCAGAGCATATCATCTTCACTTACAATCTATGTTTATTGAGATGTACCACTTTCTGAGTCCGCTTATAATGGCAAACTAGAAACTTTATCTCAAGCCACAAGTACCCACTCATAACAGTGATGTTTCATTTATCATCCTGGTGTAAATTTATGATTTCTGTTATGTAACCTGCTTATTACTCTTTTGTTTTTTAAGTCTTTCCCACATCCAACACTAGTAATTTTGAGCCCACACCAATACAAATAATTACTAACTCTATGTTAATTCTTTTTTTTTTTTTTTAAGGCAATGCTAGAAAATGGTCTTCACGCTTCTTTTATTTAGGTAATCTCTCCACCCAATGTGAGGCTCAAACTCACGACCCCAAGATCAAGAGTCACATGCTCTACCAACTGAGCCAGGCAGGCGCCCCCTTGCTAATTTTTTTCCCTAAGGATGACCTCTTTATAAAGTTTCCAAAACTATCAACTGACTAGGTTATTTATGGTCAATGTGTCTCTCAACAATGGTACTTTGTAGTCCAAAGTAAAGTGAAATGTCATGATGGAAGACACTTGTAAAGGACTTGAATACATGGTGACTACAACTTATCACAAAAATTTTGGTGAAAAACATCAAATTTGACGTCTGTCTTGTACACTCATTATGAATAAGGGTATTTTCTTCAATTATAAATAATAAATGAACAACTTTTATTTCTCATTTCAAAATAAGATAGTGTAGTTACTACTGTTTATCGGCAGACATGGTGAACTGATAAGCTGCAAGTCTTTTTTTTTTTTTTTAAAGATTTTATTTATTTATTTGACAGAGAGAGAGAGAGACAGCTAGAGAGGGAACACAAACAGGGGGAGAGGCACAGGGAGAGGCAGGAAAGCCTGATGCGGGGCTCGATCTCAGGACCCTGGGATCATGACCCGAGCTGAAGGCAGATGCCCAACGACTGAGCCACCCAGGCGCCCCTAAGCTACAGTCTCTAATGACCAAATCTGACATGCTTTGGGGCTATTAATCTCCTTAGGTGTGAAATACAGAAAGTTATTTTTAAAGGTTTTATTATTTTGTTAGAATATACTGAATCTTTTTTAGTAGGAGACTCCCTGGTAAATCTCATAAAAGCTCTTCAGAATCAGGGAGTAGAATCCCACATGCCTATCCACCAACCCCCTAAGTAGTCCTTAACAGGAAAAAGAAGTGTTTTTTAGGGAGTTTTATTACAGAAAAGTAACAGTGGAAAAAACTTTAGTCTGCAAATTAAGACTCTCTACAGATGACATTTTAAAAGTTTTTTTTTAAAAAGTTAAGGATACATTTAATTCTCTTTTAAAGGACCATTACTACTGAATTCTAAGTAAGGATAAGCATGGGGAAATGGCATGATACCTAGAGAATTCAGTAAAATTTCAGAATATCAGGGTTACCTCTCATCAAATCATATACACATAAATCAACTCAATGGATACATAGCAAAATCTTCATTTGACAATTTTTGTATAACATTTATCATCAAAACCAATTACAGACTCCTAAAATTCCAAAACTGAAATTAACTATATAGAATAAAAAACTTCATTTACTGTTTGAAAGCAAAACTAAACATATGAAATGTCTCAGACAAAGGAAACAGAAATGTTTCTCGTTTATTAATGCAAGATTTTCCCACACTCCTGCTGTGTGTGTGTGTGTGAGAGCGAGCGAGCAAGAGAGCGAGAGAGACAGGGACGGAGGGAGGGAGAGAAGGAGAAAACACAAATATACAGAATTTCATTTTTGTTTTGTGTGCTTCAACAAAGAAATTACATATCAGTGAAAATACTAAATATTCTTACATGACTTCAGTAAAAAAAGAAGGGTAAGAATGTAAACACTCTCCTCTCCAAATGCAACAACAGTCCAGGAATGGGTACTAAGATGAAACAAAGAATTATCTGATCCAGGGCAAAAAAAGGAAAAAAGGAAAGGAAAGGAAAGGGAAAAGGAAAGAAAAAGACAGAACAACATTGTAAGTTTCTTATAAAAGCTAGTTTATTTTATTTTTAAGGGCCTGTACTTTATTCCACATAGAATGACGCAATGGGGTAAGAAAAGTATTTTAAATAGCCATGAACGATGAAACTAAGAAGATAACAATCAAGCAGAGAAGGGAACTAACTAGGCAAAGACCTGTAGGAAGAGCATTCAACAGACAGGGAACATCAAGATCCTCAGTGGTGTGACTCAAGCAGTAGGAACTTACGGGAGAATGGGAGAAACTGAAGTCAGAGATACTGGTGGTCCCAAATCATGCTGTGCCTTGCAGGCCCTAAGGAACTTTGGATTTTATTCTATGTGAGACAGAAGTCAAAAGGGCTTGGGGATAGCTTCAGTAACATAATTTGGCATATGTATATATATTTAACGATTGCAGTTATTCTGTAAGGAATGGGCAAAAGAGGAAGCAAGAGTGAAGAAGGGAAGCAGGCAGTGAGAAAAGACCGTAGCTTAGACTACAGTGGTAGTGGTAGAAGTGGTGAGACACGGTTAGAAAAAGGATCTATTTTGAGAGAGACCTGACACTAATGGATGGATAAATGGATGATACCAAAGGGTAAGGTGTTCACGTTATCTCCTGGAAGAGAATAAGTAAGAATCAAAGGAATCTAGAAATCAATTTTTATCAATTTCAAAGAGGATATGTCAACACTATATTGAAATTACTGGTAATGCCAAATATAGTAAAGTCAATTTGGTAAATGAAAATTTAAAAAAATAATTTAAAATAAAATCATACTACATTTTACATTATATATATACCATAGAATCTTTGGTATATACAATTTGTCAGCTTTTTTCAAGCAAATATATCAAGGGCTTATGCCTACTTTGTTAACTGACCACCTTCTCTCTTGACTTTCAAACCAGATGTTACAAAAAGTAAGTAAAAAGTGAGATGTTACCAAGAAAGAATATGATATGACATATGTAAACACCAAAAGCAGTTTCTTAAGCCTTTTTTGAACACAGATCTAAAACATTTAATAGACATTTTATCCTCTGATTCCACAAACTCTAATCAGAAAGTATATACATAGGTTACCTTACACTACTCCTTTCTATCAGCCTAAGCCCCCCAAACCCCACCCCCCAAACCTTCAAAAGAGCTGGTCTCAAAATGAAGTAGTAGAGAGAGGGGGATTAAAGTGACAGGCAGAATGGAAGCACTGAGTTGGCTGGATTTTCCCAGTATATGTCATAATTTAATTTGGACTAGTTATGAATTCCTAAGGTATGACACTCTCAACATTTAAATATAGTATTTCAAACTCAAATGCAGTAAATCAGAATAATCACAAAAAAAGAGTTTGCAGAACCCCAAACTTAAGATGATCTAAACCAGTAACTTCAAAGACTAGTAAAGTGGCCCCAGGTCAGATGGATGACAATTAAAGAACAGGAGTAAGAAGCAAGGCCTGGAGCTTTATAAAAAGTCAGGGAAACAAAACTAGAACACTTTATAAATGAAAACTTGAAAATATATACGTGTATATATGTGTATATACATATACAGAAAAAAAACACATAGGAAAGGGTGAAAAATAGAATCAGATCATATCCAAGGCAGGATGATATTTAATCTTACACATTATTTCCTTCACCAAGGCCTCTGGAGAGGAACTTACTCTGAAATCATTTATTGTCTATAATGCTGGCAAATGCTGGCCCAGGCATGGAATCCTATTCCCAGGGACAGAAACACATCCATGGCAGAGTGGTCCTTTTCCTGATAGCAAACAAATGCAGGTTGATTTCAAAATCTATCTCCAGGCTCAACTCAAGGTTCTAGCAGCAAATTTTAAAGTACTCCTAAACATTTCTACCTGACAAGTACAATTAATAAACTAAATCAGTTAATATTTAAAACTGATTTTCTAAGTTACTTTCTCTTGCTTTGTTCTATACATCCAAGTTCTATCCTTTCTTCAAAGTGGCTTTCACATCTGTTTTTGCCATTCTTCCTACCATCATCTTAGTTTAAGCTCTGAACTAGTTTGTTTTAGCCTCCTGACTGATCTGCTTTCACATTTCAACGAACATGCTGAGGGAATATTATATGAATTATGCCAAAAACTGTGGTAACGTGGGGCGCCTGGATGGCTCAGTTAAGCATCTGCCTTCGGCTCAGGTCATGGTCGCTGGGTCATGACATAGAGCCCCGCATTGGGGTGGGGGGGGGTCCCCTGCTCAGCAGGGAGCCTGCTTCTCCTCCCTCTACCCCCCCCATGCTCTCTCTCTCTCAAATAAATAAATAAAATCTTTTTTTAAAAAATCATGGTAGTGAACACAAAAGCTGAATAAGTAACAGCTCCTAGTCTTGAACAAGCTCATACTCTAGCTGGGAAATGTATCTGTAAATAAACAATTACAATATGAAAACCTGCACAGGTACTTTGGGAACACAAATGAGGGAATATCTGTGTCTGAGGGAAACTGATTATTAAGATTTTATTGTAAAGAACTAATGTTTGAACAAAGACTTGATTAAAAAAGATTAAAAATTTTTAAAAGTTCAAGTGTGTGGGGTGGGAGGTGGAAGCAAACTTGTGGCATAAGAGACAGCATGCACAAGTGCTCAGAAGTGAGAGAAAGCCCAAGAAACAAGACTTTCAATATAACTAAAAAAGAGGAAGTCTGGAAGAATGGTGATAGGTGGTAAGGAAAAGTAGGCCTGGACTTCAACGCCAGGTTAAGAGGGAAACAGCATAGGCAGGAAAACCAGGCACAAAAATCTAGGTGATGAACTAAGTCAGACTTCCCTTAAGTAACAGTTTATTATGGTGCCATACTATAACCACTACACTGACTCACTTTCTTGTTCTCATCTCTTCTTAATTTCTCCTATCTAGAGCATACAGACCAAGATTCCTGAGATCATAACCTTAATGTAACTGTGTAGCAGTAATTACCTCAAAACCTCAAACAAAACTTATGCCTCAGCTTAATTTGAGTTATTCACAGTTGTTCCTATTCATGTTAATCTCTGCAAAATGCCATCTGTAATGTCTATGTTCTTCAACAATTGAAACTCAAGCTGACTAGACTAACTTTAAATACTGACATTATCCATATCTTTCCTAGCACAAGCATCTCCAATATCCTCCAAACAGATCTTTATTAACCCGTTCTTAATTCTCCTCAAATCTACTCTCCCACATTAGCCAAAGTGAACTTTTAAAATAAAAATGTAATTGTTGTAGCCCTAACTGATTGAAATGCCTCAACAGCTTCCTAAAACAATTTTAAGGCTTACGAGTTCCTATGTAAACTCTCTGACCTTAACTCTCTCCATAGGTCCCCTGCCACCACTAAACTGCTGCCACACCAACACAAGATCTTTCCCACCTCAGGGCCTTTGTATATGCTGATATCTCTATTTAGAATGTTCTTTCTCCCACTGGAAACTTTCACACTAAGTTAGGGTTCCTGATTTACAGTCACTGAAAATACTTTACTGAAACTACAATCATACAATAATAAAAAATAACTTTCATTGACCACTTACTATGTGCCAGGCAGTATACTCTAAATGCTTTAAAACTGATTTATGTAATTGATTCTCAAGTATTTACTTGTGTAGTCCTCATTTTTAGATGAGAAATGGAGAAGTTGGATAACATGCCCAAGGTCATATATCTGATGTGCCCAAGGTTCCGTTATCTGGTAAGTGACAGAGATGGGATATGAATCCAGGCAATCTGCTAGAGTTCCCCCCCTTTGTAACCACTACAGTACACTGACTCTCACACATACAACTAATAGTTTAATGTGTGTATTCTCCCCAAACTGTAAGCTTCATGATGGGAAAAGGAGTAAGGGGCAAAAAGGGAAGGGCACTTATTTTGCAGTGAACAACGTAAATAGAGGATGTTACAATCAAGTATTTGTGCATGTCAAAAAGATCTCTTTAGCAGAAAAATGAGAATGAACTGACTAGAGGTACATGAAACAAAAGCCACTCACTACCAAACTGATCGTACCTATTTTAGACAAAGTTCCATTAATTTTAGGATAAAATTATGCTTAAAAGAACACTATTACACCAATTAAAATTACTGTTTCCATATTCCAAATCAACTAATACTTTTAAGTACTTTCTAAATACAGTGAACATAATTTAATCCTTCAAGGAATTAATAAAATCTCTAAATTTCATTATAAACCACTAAAATAGACATTGTAGCACTGAATGTGTAGAATACATCTATTAAATGGGTTCAAATAAGAACAAATCCCTAATGGCAACTTCTTGTAGATTCTAGTAGCCAGGAGTTTTACTGCTAACACGCTGATACATGTGCCCCACCATAAAGTCAACTATTTCACAACTTTAAAGTATGAAGACTTTTCGATAGTCGTGAATTTTTTTTCATCTCTGGCAACAGAATTTGCTCCTACCTTGTATTATAAAGGATAAAATGCGCCACATATAAGTTATATGGTGCCTTGGAGGGGAGGTGAACAGACTGTTCCTTTCTTTACAGTTTCCCTAATGAAGATTTTACTAATTCACTCTGATTGCTGAATAAAGAATTTGACTTCTTCCTTTTGTGTCCCTCCCAATTCCACATTCACTATCAACAAACACTACACATACATATGCACACAGTTCTCTGTTGTCTACAAAGTAAACAGAAACTAATAAAAAAATCACAATTACCATTAATATTTACCAGCTTTATCAAGATGTAGTCAATCAACATTTGAAACCAATCATGAGAAGCCATAATATCTGAAGATAATCTGGTATTTTTATTATTACCCATACAGAGAAAAGTGACAGGTCAAATCTCACTGAGATACTGCCCAAACTCTGTGAAACCAGAACATTCCTATATCAAGTATTATATGACAACCTAGAAATATTTATAACCGAAGGAATTTTTGTTTTAGGAGTATTTTTCAGTAACGGGATTCTGAGCTACCAATCCCGTTTCACATCTATTATAAATAATTTTATTTCATTCCTAAAAAAACAATAAAAAAAATGGGCTTAAGGAGAAAAGGATACATACACTGGAAAAAAATAAAAATCTAGCTTCTGAAAAAACAAAGAACTCAATATCTGAGTATCTTTAGAAAAAGAACAATTGATCTTTCTCTTCTCATATAAAAAACGTATTTCTTGGGGTGCCTGGGTGGCTCAGTCGTTGAGCGTCTGCCTTTGTCTCAGGTCATGATCCCAGGTCCTGGGATCAAGCCCCACATTGGGCTCCCTGCTCGGTGGGAAGCCTGCTTCTCCCTCTGCCTCTGCCCCTGCTTGTGTTCCCTCTCTCGCTGTGTCTCTCTGTCAAATAAATAAATAAAATCTTTAAAAAAGAAACATATTTCTTATTAAGTCCTACCAGTTCCAGAATACTGTGGCTTGATATTTACAATATGACAAATACATAATGAATAGTTTAAGAATCTGCTTACGATGGATCTAAGAAAAATGAAGGTTTAAATAAATTTTAGGGGCAGAATTTCTAAACTCATCAACTTGAACCAACAGCATAGAAATAAATAAAAGCAATTCACTTCACTTTTAGCAAATGCAGAATGCCCAACAAATGAACAATTAAAAGCCTTAATGAATACTGAAAAGGCAGTTAAAAGGTAGATGCACAGGGAACATATGACTGGCTGGAAAAGTGACTCAGCAAAAAACTGGGGGCCTATATGAACGTATCCATAATCATTATTTTGGAGAGCAGGTAAATATTCTGGCACAGAGTCCTTTCCAGGGGTTACAGAGCTATTTTGTAAGAGGTCTTATCCAACAATGACAACAACAAAAACAAAACCAGGGTAGCACATATCCAAGAAAAAAATGGAGAGTTCAAGCAAAGAGACAGAAAATAACACATCACTCTTCCTAATCCAAAACCATCTACTAAAATCTATTGTCTGAAGCTGCTTTACTCAGATGGTATTCCCCAAAATCATGTATACCATTTCTTAAAGTGCACCCCAAAAATCTACAAATTCTCTAAAAAGTGTTACTAAGTCTATAAATGCCCCTATCTGTTTGACTTTGATCTAGGGAGAATATGTTGTGTATGCTTCAACTTGAAGAAACAGATTTTGTGATTTTCCAGAATCTTAAAATCACCTGTATCAATATGCCTTATAACAGATTCAAAACTGAACCACCAATATGTAAGCTTTAAAAAGTACATCATCCTAAAACAAAACTCTAATAAACGTGCTAATCCACAAAAGAAAGCACACGATTGTATACCAACTAAAGAACCAACTGTAATTGGTATGCCTTATGAGCAATAAGTTATTAGAGTTGAAAAATCACATTAATAGGTCCTAAAATTACAGTACTTCATCCTTAAATATTTGGATATAAATCTATTATGTACAAATGAAAGGATACACAACAACAGAAAATCTTTATGTTTAGGATACAAAACAAATCCTGTAAGCATAAGGCAAACTTTTGAATGAGAATGAATATAATATCTTAAACCAATTTTAAACCTTAAGAGGAAGGATCAGTCTATTTTTTTTTTAAGATTTTATTTATTTATTTGAGAGAGAGAGAGAATGAGAGACAGAGAGCAAGAGAGGGAAGAGGGTCAGAGGGAGAAGCAGACCCCCCGCTGAGCAGGGAGCCAGATGCGGGACTCGATCCCGGGACTCCTGGATCATGACCTGAGCCAAAGGCAGTCGCTTAACCAACTGAGCCACCCAGGCGCCCAGGAAGCATCAGTCTAATAAAGAGGAAGGAAGGGAGGGAAATCCAGAAGAAACTGGATGTATGGTCCGCTTTGTCAAGGGACTATGTGTTTCTACAAGGCTCCTAGTAAATTTAGAACAAAACAAGAAACTCCAGAATTTAAGGGAAGAAAAGGGGGGATAAATTGCTGAGGATTCTATACTTTGAGGGCCTAAAGTGCCAAACAGTCAGTGTCCCAAACTCTTTGAGTGTGACACACTTTCTCTGAAGAAATGTTAGCAATCATAGGCCATATTGAGTCTCCTTTCCCTGGATATAATTTTGAATGTCTTGTTATGTGCAAAAGAATGTAGAAATCACTTGATTAAGAATTATACAGGATCAATCTGGAAGAATGGAAGAAACAATTTTTGAAGGCTTTCTGAGAAGCAAGAGCCCAAAAGGGCAGTATTAGTAAGCAAAGTAGTGTGGACCTAGGGCTACATTGCTAGAAAATTATTTCTAATAACCATACATTAAGGAGAAAAAATCTATAATGTTAGATCATGATTTCCAGTACAATGCAGACAAAGAGAAAATGCCTGGAGTGTTAGAATTTCACACACACACAATCTGGTGACCTTATTCATTCAACAAATCTTAGCTGAACTTTTGTAGCAGACATTATGCCCTCACTGCTCCTACACTCATTTTTGTTAATCTCAAACCCCAAGATGGTAGAAATGTGCCAGTCTTCCTGTCTAGACCTCAGAGAAAAAGATACTTGAAGTTTCTATTCCTGCAGGTATTAAAAGTACAGCCACTCGCCTAAAATCTCGAGAAATAGAAGAACAGCATGTCTAAAGCTAGTGGAAGGAAACTAAAACTTGCCCCATTCTGAGACCAAGTTACACGTAGCAAAATTGTAAGTCTATGAATTTACACCTTCCCCAACTTTGTTTCTTAGCTTCTTTTCTGAAAACAAACTCTCTGGTCCTGCCATACTGTGGAAAAATAAGTAGTTGCTGAAAAAAATCTAATAACCTTCCTTTGTATTATACTAATGGTTTATTCAGTTTAAGGTTTTGTTTCGTATCTTAACAAAAAAGTAAAATTATTTCTTAGGACACTAGACTCTTCTGTTTAATAATTTATGATGGTTTTATGAGAAAACTGATTTACAAAACATCATATTTTTAAGCTAACAAAATGACTCACTGGTAAATGGCCCAACATCCACCCTCAAAATACTGACGACAGTACCATTTTTACCCCAGACTTTCCCATCACATACTTACCTGTGCAACTTCTTTCAACATTTGCTACTCTGGGGATTGGAAAGCTCAGAGCTGGAGGCTGAAGTGAAGAAGGAAAGGTTGGAGGGTGAGCCATGACACCAGCCCCACACTAGGAGCTCCCCTGAGATACTACAGCAGGGTTGACACCATAGCTCTGAAGTTCAAACTCCAGCAAACGATAAGAAAGGAGTCCAACCAGAACATGATATACGATGGGATTCTTCTGCTCTTTGAAAAATAAGGAAATCATGCTATAAAGATCTGAATGTCCAGTTTCAACATTATGACTCCCTGTTCACATCTTCATTATTCCCAACCCCAGAATCATCTCTCAGACTGATTGAAAGTATAAATCAAAAAAAGGACAGGGGGCAAAGCTTTCTACAAACGTGCACACTTTTTCAGAAAATGAAAGGATAGGGCTTACCTGGCGATCACGGAACCATCTAAGACAGTATGTTAAAATACTTTGCCTATCCACTCCTTGTATACTTTTTCTTGTTCTCCTAAGCACTCAACGTTAAATCTTAGACTCTCATATATATTAACACCATCAACCAGCAGAATGACTAGACTACATGGAGTCATTAAATTTCTAAAAGTGGACCAGTGAACTTTTTGAAAACCAGGGATACTTTTTGGTATAAGTATATTCTTGGGAGGAAATGATTGAGAACATTCCATCCTATAACAGCAGAATACACATTCTTTTCAAGTGCACATGGAACATTCTCCAGAATAGATCATATACATTAGGCCACAAAACGAGTCTCAATAAATTCAAAAAAATAGAATTTGTAAAACGTGTTCCACTCTGATAAAAACAAATAAGGACCCCTCAATTAAAATAACTTGAAACAAACTAAATAATAAAGAGAAAAATGTAAAGACTTTTAAAGAAATCAATCTAAATATAGGACTTAAAAGAAATGTGATTTATTCACTTTTATAAAAATGTGTGAATCTTTGTTTTATAAGTGAATTACTGATTCAGAGAAAACTAGATTCTATTATGAATACTAGAGCTAATAAAAATAGATGCTTATGTTATTTAAAGATAACATCTATTCAATAACAAGTATTACTAAAGGTGGCAAATACTCTGAAATTGTAAACTAAATATAGAGGAGTATCAGAAAAATTGTATTATATGAAGCAGTTAAAAATGAAAAGTATTCCTTCAGCAAGGGAACACAGGATCTTTAAAATACCTTTAAACACCTTACCATATAAATTAATTCAATTAACATTCAGTAGGCATCTACTATGTGCTAGATACCACTTTTCTACTCTTACATACTTTATCCACTTGATGCTCAGAAATAAAGGAACATTAACAAATAAAAAGTAACAGAGAAACACATTTACAATGGCTTCCAAAGCATTAGTTAAGTTACCCTTACCTCTAAGTCTCCTATCATTTCCCTTTCTCTTATTGTCTTCCTGCCACACTACTTTCCCACTCCTATCTCCAGGCCTTTGCACTTCTATCCTTCAGGAATGCTCTTCCCCTAGATACGTATCTATATGGCTTCTTACCCCACCCAACTTCAGGTACTGAGTCATCTTAGTGAGGACTCCTCTGTTTATTGAAAATTACACTACCCTTTTCCCCAACCCCTTAGTCACTCTCTACCTCTTTTCTTATTTTAATTTTCTCCACAACATTATCAACATATAATTTATAGTATATTTTATTTTGTTTAATGTCTTCCTATGCTCTAAAATGTCCGCTCCATAAGAACAGAAATTTTTGTCTTTTATTTGTCTCCTTAGCATCTGGAACACTCACTGCCTTACAGAGCAGGCCCATAACATGAATGAGTCCTCATCTTACTGCCATTACCTGAGTGTTATTTGACACTAATTGACCAATGATTTGCTTACAGCACAGGTTAAAAATTCTATGACACAACAATTATTTTTAAAACTAATGGAATTATGTTGAAAATTAATGTTAAACTTTACATTTCTGAAACATATATGAATAAAATTGTTTTATGCCTTTTCCCACTGAAATTAGACAACCACTTCCAAAATACCTAATAGAGTGCCAGAAACCTCCAGTGGTTCGAGTGCTATGAGAAGCACCAGATAAGAAATGTGATATTAAAAAAACTTTTTTTCCATTTCCTTAATTTTTTTTCTCAAGTTAGACTGCCTTTTTTAAAAAGCTGTTTTGAGAGCATTTCAGACTTATGGTTTAATATTAAGAGACAAGACATGTCTCTTTTGTATCACAAAATCCCACTAGAAGAATTATACTACTTAGAGCCACTGGGTTGCACTGTAGTCCATGGGAATATGCACTCCTTGGAGTTAGCCAAACAGTGCACTGCCTGGACAGTCTAATACAGTGCACCTACTACAAATTAAGCACTAATAAGTACTGAATGTTTACCGAGCGATAAATGCTGCTCAAAGCACTGCGTGTGTATCTATGTGTATATATGTATGTATACCTGTTACACAGGTCCATATATACATATGCACATAAATATAAAACCTCACTTATCACAACAAAGCCTCTGTAAGATGATTACTTTTACCTCAAATTGAGACATGGAAGGGTAGAGTCTAGGCTCTAGATAGATCAAAGATGTTTCCCTATCACAGTTATCATGGAGAATACCCAGCCCTTATGTCCCAGTAAGATACCAAGGTTTGTTCTCCAGAAAAAAACCCAAGTGGATAGGCTCTAAATCTTCTTACTCAGCCAAAGTGCAGGTGAAGAGTGAGGCATAGACCTGAAAACTGAAGGATGAAGACTTATATTTGTAACTGTAAGTTCAATCCTCCTTTCTTTCCTTAACCTGCTTACAGAATGCTACCAATGAAAATGTAAGAACCCCCCTCTCTCCTCCCCCTTGAAACTATGTATTTTCTGTGGAAAACTGAAATTGCTCAAAAGAAATTGCTCAAGAGAAATGTACACTATCAAAATGAGGTACTTACCCAACAAAAAGACTAATTTAACTACATGGTAATAAGCTCTGTCCACAAACACTGTCACCATGTTTTAAAAACTTGTTATTTGGAAATAATTTTAGACTTGCAAAAATAGTACCAAGTTCCCATATGCCCCACACTTTCCCCTAGTGGCAACATGTTATATGACCATAGTACAAGTACCAAAACTAAGAAATTAGCTATTAACTAAACAACTTCATATAGATTTCACCAGTTTTTCCACCAATGTCTTTTTTTTTTTATTCCAGGACCCACATTACATTTAGTTTTATGTTTCCTCGGTTTTCTCCAACCTTGGACTTTACCTGTTTTTCCTTGAATTTCACAACACTGATGTCATTAGTTATACTGATGTAACTACACCACAGAATGTCCTGCAATGTGAGTAGATCTTATGTTTTCTCATGACTAGATAGAGGTTATGTACTTTTAAAGCCACCTCACTGAAGAAGTAATATGTCCTTCTCAAGTGCATCCTACATGAAGGACATATACAGGAGTGCATATGATGGTAATATATCTTATTACAGGTGGTATTAACCTTGATCTTGATTAAGCTAGTACATCCACCAGTTTTCTCAACTATAAATTCCTATTTTCCCATTAAAACATTGAAATAAGTTCTTTGAGAATATCCAAATATCTGACCTTAAATTTCTGCCTACTAATTACAGCAGTCATCCATGGATATTGCTTGCAGCATCTATGATGCTCTAATGGTGATTTGCTATTTTCATCCTTCTATACTGTATTTGTTAACTGAAATGCTTCTACAAGGAAACCAATCATCTTTTAAAGATCTCACTCTTAGGGCGCCTGGGTGGCTCAGTTGGTTAAGCGACTGCCTTTGGCTCAGGTCATGATCCTGGAGTCCTGGGATCGAGTCCCATATCGGGCTCCTTGCTCGGCAGGGGGTCTGCTTCTCCCTCTGACCCTCCCCCCTCTCATGTGCTCTCTCTATCTCATTCTCTCTCTCAAATAAATAAAATAAAATCTTAAAAAAAAAAAAATCTCACTCTTAAATATGAAGAGTGTCAAAGACTTTACCTAACTGGTCCAAAGTAATATAGGAAGAAAGTGAAGTATATCTCAAAATTGTTACTCTAACAATCACATTCTTTCAGCTTCATTACATTGCCTTTACCCCTCACTAGAGAACAGGTTTAAAATTTCATATGCCTCAAGCAGTCTCTCTTGACATTTCTGGCCCTAAAAAAGAAAGATCTTCAATTTCTGTTTTTTCTTGAAAAAGCATCTTCCTATTTTTTTATTAGCATATGTACTATGGTGTCTTTAATTTTCTGAGCTAGGTTAAACATCAAAGAGATGATTTACTATTCTATGCTACAGAACACATATTTTACTAGGAATACTAGTACAATTATTACCTCAGCTGAGAAGATAAATGGCTACTGTATTTACAGGTCTATTAGATTCTAGGAAATCTTGAGGAAGGGAATTCAAGGGAAATCATGTAATTATTTGCTTTAGGTTAAATGGAAATCACAGCTATGAAGACTCCATATATGAACTGTAATATATTTGCTGAGCTGTACTCTTTTATGTGTCTTTCCAAATGACCTTAAGTGCTGAGAAGGGGTCTAATAACATTTCTGTGTATTACACACCACATAGTGTCTTACACAACAGAAAGTATTCAAGCCTTAACTGAATATTGACACAAAAGCTTGTTCTCTTTATCAGAAATGATTTCTCATCTATCTTCTCAGCCAAAATGTAATTTTAAAAAAATGAAATCTTATGATTTGTACTTCTAACCAAGATGGACTAGGAGGAACAACCTCCCCTCCTGCCTCACCTGAAACAACTTTAAAAAAAAGACAAAATACATGAAGCAATGGTTTTCAAACACAGGACATAAGGCAGTTCAAGACAGTAACCCCTGAGAAAGAAAGAATTGATGAGAGCCCTACAAGTGCCCTTGCTTACACACTAGAGTTTCTGGGCTGCAGTGCAGGGAGAGGGAGCCCTGGTGGAACTCAGAAATCTCTGCGAATTGAGGAAGTGTAGCTCAGATCTAGGTAGGCCAAGGCAGCTAGAGTAAAAAGTCTACAGTACCATACAGAA